TCTGGAGAGACGTCACCATGCTCTTCCCAGCTCGGTGCTCAGCTCTGCAGGTCACACACTCCATTTCTATTGTGTTTGTCCCCCATCTCCTCATAGAAGCATGGCTGTAGCACTGGGGTGTCCATGGGGAGGGGTCTTCTGGTTGATCTGGCAGCAAAGAGGGAGCATAGTGTTGGAAACCATCACCAGTGCTCACAGTGTGCCATGGCTGGGCTGGAGACCAGCAGGCAGAGCACTGGGACCATCTGCAGACCTGCCTGCCCAACCAGACATCCAGCCCTGCATGAGATGGAAATAGAGCCAGGGAGTGAACCTAAACAGCTCTTTCTGCTTTAGCTTAGCCAAAAGAAGCCCTGGAGGCTGTTGGGAGAAAAGGAGACTTCAGATGGTAAGGGAGATAGTAGAAAGGGACCTCGATCCTATTCGCAGGGTAAGAAAATGTCTTTATCTCTGATTTGCAATATTTACAGCTCAAAGAATACATCTGTCAGCCCAGGGAGAAGCAGATGTTAACTGGAGATCCAGCTGAGATAAAGTATCACAGCAGATACAAATATACAAGAAGTAGTATCTGAATTCTATGTAGGTTTGAATGATGCTGAAGAATGAGAACTGCATAGGAAGAAGAAATGGAAAAAGCAATAATGAAGAGAAAAATAATAGAGGTACATGACGATGGAAGTGAGATGGGATCCTGGTTTTATGCAGGACCTGGTTCCAATCAAATCTGCTTCCTTAAGCAAGTATTGTTTGCTTCCCTTGGAAGAGCCAACAATATGCAAAGCGCAACAGATGGAGAATCCTGGGGGTAGAGGTGGTAGTTCAGCCACAGGAGAGGGAAGATTGCAGTGGCCACAGGAGGAGGATGAATTGTAGTCTCATCAAACACCAGAAAAGCCAAGTGTCCATGTATAAATATACAGTGTTTGTGTTGAATTATTGCAGGAAAATGCGAGTCTGAAGTGAATCCCAAGTGTTTGACTCCATGGAAATTAGCAAGCCCTGATTAGATTCTCCTCTCTGTGTTTGAATACAAAATCCCTTGCCAGGTGCCTGCTTGCGGGCTCTACATAGAATTACTGTTTTCAGGAGCCTTTCCTTTGGAAACAAACCCCATCCCTGTCCCCAGTGCCAGCACATTTCCCCCTCCAAGCTGCGCTCGCTGAGATTGAGATCGCAGCTGCCATTGAGGAACAACAATAGCGTCTTTGTAATCTTATCTAGAGATAAGCATTAGAGCAACCGTGTTCAGCATCTGTTTGAATGCTGCCCCGTCTTTATCAGGACAACCATAAGTGTTGTTTGAAGGGATTTAAATAGCAAACACAGGTGGTTTTAATCTCCCTTTGCTTTTTACTCTTCAGCAAGCATACACTTCACCGCTTCAGAATGCAGCCGTAGTTCAGTAGCTGAGGGATGAGAGGTACATCACTCACCAGTTGTTCTCACCACGATGAAATGACATGGGAACCATCAAACACTCTGATTCGGACACAAGACCAGCCCCTACAACCCTCCATACTACAGGGATCCAGGGTTATACACCATGCATCACTAGGAGGGATCAGCATGGCCAGGACACACAACCAAGCTATAAGGACAGAGACCCACGCTTTTAGTCATGGCCCTTGCCACCAGTCCCCTTGGGGATGGTGGAGTCATTAGGATGGATCTGGGTCATGGTTTTGCACAAAGGCTGCAGCATAAGTCACTGTCTGTACCGGAGAGCGACCACCTGGTGGCATTTTGCATCCTTAATGAAATAAGTACAAGTCCCATCTCTGCTTACTATAGAAGGAACATGCAATGTGATCCAGGCTAATGAGCCTGGAATTAACTGCATTTTAATTATAGGCTTGTCTCTTCCCTAATAAACAAAATGACCCAGAAATGGGGAGCAAAGCATCGACCTCAGGTCAGCAGCCAGCTAGGCTGGTACACGTACGTCCTGCTTAACCGCAGTCTGTTCAATGCTTTCCTAGATGGGAGCATTTCTATATGATTCCTTGTGTGGCAAAGGCCATAAAGCAATGAGGATATCAGAGTAAATGCACAAGGCACAGCTTTGTAGGGTTGCAGAGCTGCAGAGACTATGTGTGCTCCTGCAGAGAGGCCACAGGCCTTGCAGTGCTTCACATTTACCAATATGAAAGTTATTATTCCTTCTCTTTTATTGCCCTGAATTCATTGAGATATTTTATGGAGGCCAAGGTGGTTTTTTTCCTCTGCAAAAAAGGGTTTCCCCTCTGCAATTGCACTCCAAAATCCTTTTGTTTTCACCTATTCAGCTTCCCACCTTTTCACAAAGCCTTTTCTCCTGAGCTCTCTGTATTTATCTGACCTTTGCACTCTACAGCATCTGTTTCCTTATCTGCCTGGCTGGCTGGCTTCTCTGTGAGCTTGTCAGGGAGATGGCATAAGCAGTGAGCAATAGAAGAGGAAAAAATCACCAAAGAAAGGGAAGGAAGCCCAGTGCATCAGGGTGGAAGTGGTTCTGATCTAGTTCAAGATGGCCCCACTCACTGCAGGGGGTTCGGACTAGATGAACTTTGAAGGCCTCTTCCAACCCAAACTATTCCACGATTCTATGATCATCCCACAAGAGAAGGGAACAACACAGCAAGAAAGGATGTGGAAAATTCCTCTCATCGCATCACCTCTTGGCACCGCATCCCTGGGGACTCATCGCCCTTTTCCATGCCATTCCTGGATGGAAAAGCACTGTAGGGACATGAGGCAGGTGCCTGAAAGTGCCAAATCCAAATGCTCAGCCTCCATGGAGCCAGCACTGTGCTGCCAGCTGCTGCCTGCGCATCTCTGAGTCACAGCCCCCCGTTACCTTGGCAAATGTAGTCGCGGGTACCAGTAGAGGAGCTCCAGCGCCAAGGAACATGCTGTCTCCTGTTCCTCCACCAGCACAATTCCGACTCCAGGATCTCAACCCTGCTGCTAATTAATTAAATATAATCAGGAGCACGTTAATGGCTGCGGAAGGAACTCACCGGGTGGCACACGCTGCGGGAGCACCCATGAGCACAGCAGGATGCTGCCTCCAGCCTCCTCCACAGCATCCCTGTGGGATGGAGCTCTCGCCCTCAGCATTGCTCGGTTGGGATTTCCACCCCCTCCCTCCAATTTTGTCCTGTTTCTGGCAGAAAGCACAAAGAGCATTGGGAGGGGATGGGGTCTGAGCTGATTTTGGACAGGAAGATGTGCCAAGTGGGACCAAGAGGCCATAAGGGACCTTCCGCCCCTCTTCATGATGTCCCCAGCGTTGTACCCTAGATCAGAGCTTCTGCAGCATCACTGTTGTCTGCCAAAAAGCTTGAAATCCTCCTTTCCACCTCACACAACCACAGCCACTGATTATTTCTCTCAGGGCCTTTGATGCTGCTGAATAATTCAACAAAATTCCCTTTAACCCGTCACAGCTTTCAATGAAAGGGGACCTCACAAGCACCGCTGCGTGGTGCAAGGCGCATCGGTGCCATGAGCAGGCAGTGAGCGTGTGGCAGGACGGCCTCATCAAGGACATCATCCACAGGGATGCAAAGGGAGGGGAAAACACTCTCAAACAGCCTTGTAGCAACACGGTGTAAAATCAGGCAGAGAAATTGTCCTTGACCAGCCGCCTCTCTGGGCCCCGCTTCACGGAGCCGGCATCAGCAAATGGGCTCTTGTGTGAATAGATCTGTCAAACCCCACAGCTCTGCTCAGCAATTCCCACCCCAGCCCTGCCTACTCACACTGACATTATTTTGGTACTTGACTACATTAAAGGTGCAAGCGTATTCCCTCTAATTTGCTAAATTGACAAATTTACTCCTCCCAGGAGACAACTTCATCTCCACCTTCACCCTCTTCAGCCTTGAACGCTCCGTGGGTAACATGAAGGTTTTTTCCCTTAATTTCTTCTCCAGGAAAAAAAAGGGGGGAGGATATTTTATTTGTAGTGGCTTAAATTGTCGTGTTGACTACAAAAATCTCATCACATCAAAGGCTGATCCAATAGGGCCTATTATTCCAGTAATGGATATCTTCTCAAGGATGAGTGGATTAGTACAAAGGGAAGCATGAGTGGGAGAGTTGAAGTGACAGGTCTGAAACAGATGGGTCTGCTCACTGGGAGCGTGCATCAGTGCAAGGAGGCAGAGAAAGCAGCAGAAGACAGTGCTGCTCTGAATTAGGATGTCTGCTGTGCAGGACAAGACAAAACATGATACGTTTCTCATCTTGTCAGGGGATACAGCTCAACGCACCCATCTCCAGCTGTGGGGATGCGGTGCGGAGGCTGGTCCTCACTCGCCTGGTAAATGACACAGCTGAGCTCTGCTGGAACCCTCTGCCTTGGCTTCACAGACTTGTACGGGATGTAACTTGTGTCCACGATGAGCGCAGCACCAACCGATGGCCGGGGTGGAGGGAGGTTTGCATCCTCATCCTTCCCATCGCCAGGTAGCTCTCTAGTGAAATGCACCTGCGAAAAGGTGGGTGCAAACTCAGCCAAGACCATCGCAGAGTTGTCGCTGCTTGATTTTGTCCTGTTGTTATTCTGTTCTCCTGAAGCACTTACAGCCAATTGCCAGGGCAGAAGTTTATCAGATTGCAAGCTGATGCTGGTGCAAAAAACACCATTCCCCTCTGAAACCCAACCAGAAACACATTGAAATGCCCTTTGAAAAGAAATCCAAGCTCATAATGTTGATGGAAACAGTCACCTGAAAGGAAACAGACGTTTTTCAGCAGGTTTTACAACTTGGGCAATTGAAAACCCCACCAAGCATTAGGATTTTTGTTCCCGTGCCAGAGAACCCGTCAAAGACTCAAAACCATTCCCTGGGAAACAATGCCAGCACTTGATAAATGATCCATGATGGCCTAACATTTCCATCAAGGGCAGGATGAGAAGAACAGCATGACTGGGGCTCTTCAAAAGCCAGACCTCAGAGCTGAGAGAGGATTAAATCCTGACACCACTCTGATTACTCCAGAAAGGAATCAAGCCAGGAGAGATTGCATCCCCAGTGCAGCAGCATCCAGACACACACGTGTGAAACACCACAATGGAAAGGTGCATCACCACTTGTACAGAACAAGGTGGTTTTCACCTGAACATCAAGGATCATTGAACTCCTCTGGGAGCACAGGAAAAGGGATGTCTCCATGGAGCAATGGTTTCAATTCTCATTAGGTCCTTAACTGCTGGTTTCATTAGGCTGCCTACAGACAAAACATAACTGCTCAGTGGCTATTGCCCACTGAATAGCAATTGTGGTTTATTAATGCTCTCCCAGCTGTAAACCTGTCAGTGAAATCAGGTTAAACGTGCCTTGTGAAGTTTCCTCCTTCCCAAAGAGCATGGCAAGCTGATAGAGCAGGGTTTGACATCGACTCCCCTATAAAAAAAAGGAGGTTTCATGCAGTTTAATAGCACCTGGAAGTGTGAGAACTTGCCCCACAATCCAGGCAGACCTTTTCCCATAGGAGCTCTTTGAAACCTGTGGAAGTTATAACTTTGGTGTTTGTTTTACAGGAACAATCTACAGCCCAAGAGCCAAGACCAAGGCCATAACCACAGGAGAACTTGGATTAAGGGTCTCTTTGGAGCTCAGGACTACTAAATCCTCTTTAGTTTTAAAGCTCAGCTTGCAATGCAGACAGACCCTTAGCTTAATGTGGTTAAAGGCTCCCCCTGAGCAGCCATAAATTGTAATTGCCCTGCTAAAACTCATGGCACATCCACTCCTAATTTCCTCATATGAGATGTAGTTCTCTTAACCCTAAGCACCACCCTTATTCCTACAACTGTTTGAAGGCTTCCATGCAGATGATACACGTTGGATTAAAGTTCACCTGCACAAGAGCTTTATCTTTCTTCTTCTTTGGAGAAGATAATTCCAGTTGATTCAAAGCAGCTTTTATCTCAACAACAGGATCTTGCTTAAATTAGGGTAAAAGTTCTGCCCAAATCAGTATTCCTCTGTTTCACTCAACCATTCCCTAGAACCCCTTGGTCACTGAAGAGCTTTTCAAGTCATTTATAGCATTCACTACACAGTTATTAAGAGCCACAGACCTGTAGCGTGGTTCAGTCTCTGACATGTTTCTATGTCTTTATTTCCCCCATGTTTCCATCAGCGATATCTAACCAAGCGCCCTCTCCCTTTTCATCCCCTGCTCAATCTATTTGCTACCATCCTTCATGGCACAGCACATCATGTTTCCACAGCACCTCCCATGCCCGAGCCCGCACCAGCCGCTCGCTCTTCCATGATTCACCCATAAAAGCCAGCCCTCAACGCTCCCACCTCTTCATCTTCCCATTACACGGAGGAGAGCCAAGGTCAGCCAGCTGCAAATGAGGTGTTTGGAGGCAAAGCGTGACGGGGGAGATGATTGCTTGATGAGCATAAGAGAGGCAAAAGGGTTTGGCTGTGTCTCATTCATTAGATCACCATCAGTTGCGCAAGGAGAATTAAGGGCAGCGCAGTGACGCTCCTCTGACCAGCTCCCGCATGTCATCGATGCTGCCACTAAGGCAAAAACAGGCAGGTTACACACATCCTCTGACTCCTGCTGTGATGAAAACCTTGGGAAAGAAAAGAAAAACAAACGAAAAAGCAGTGATTTTCATCACAAAAGCTCTGGATTTTCCGCTTCCTTACAAAGGGCGAAGGTTTGCAGGCAAAGAATGTGAGAAAAAGCCTCAAATTGCCCAGATCAGTAAAAATATATTTTTCCTGTGCAAGCCTTAGCAATCTCAGCAAAGCAGATCTGCCTTTGAGACCCTTTCACACACCCTATTTCCTTACATGCATCTCACAGCTATTCCCACTGCCCCAGCATCCCATCACAAAGCCTTATGGTGCAGCCTGGGTATGGACCCAGGAAGCTGCTGTTGCCCCTCCAAGACCAAGTATCTGCCCTGGGCACCTCTGTGCTGATCAAAACCAGTTCCTCCCCAAAATGAGGTGGTTGATTTACCCCTGAAAATCTGGATAATGGAGTTCTTGTCCTCTTGACAAGAGTCATTGCTCCATACCTGTAACCTCTGCACCTTTATCCCCCTAAAGTGGTCAAAGGACATAGGCAGCATCATAGAAGGCATCTAATTGAGATGAGTTTAACCCAAGAGAGCCCCTCACCTCCCTGTGAAAGCTAAAACAAGCAGGATAGAAAGGATTAATACTCGCATAACTGGCACCAAACAACCACAATGCAAGTGAAAAGTTCAATTCAGAGTGAAGGGAATACAGAAAAACCACTAAGGAATAAAAGGCAAGAAAAATCCATCACTTCAGCAGGTAAATGAAGGTAAAGAATTAAAACAAAAACTGCTTCTGCACTCTTCTGAAGTTTCTAATCCATTCCCTGCCCACTAGGGCTTAACCCATAGTTTCTTGTATCATGCAATAGAAATCCAGAAACACAGAAGTAAAGGTTAGGAGGAACGTGGCTTATGGAGAATAATCCTGCACAGAATACAAGATACAACCTCATGGAACAACAAGGTCATGTCTGGGGAGTGCAACATCCTAGACTGAGAAAGAAGCAAAGAGAAAGAAACAGAGGCTCAGAAGGCAAAGGAGAGTTCTCCCTATTTCCTGCATGGACCGTTTCAGATCCAGCCTTTCCATGGCTGGGATGGTGGCTTGGGCAGGTCAGGGACGTGCTGGGGCGCACAGGAGAGCTGCCTCATTTGCAGACACTGAGGCTAATGATGCCAATGATGCCATGCAGTGCTCGCATCTTTAATTGCTGCTTCTCCACTTCCCGGGAAGCCACATTACCCCAGTTACTCCAAGCAATATTTTCTTCCTCCTCCTCGCCAAGGAGCAAGCCCTCCCTCACATCAAGTGCTCCCAGGGTTACCTAATGCCCATCACACCCGTGCCAAGGGGAACGGGCTCATTTATCACTTATTACTATGATTAACTTGTGTTCAAGAGCCCCGGGAGAGCCTCAGGCTACAAATGCTTCCAGAAGGGGAGAGCTGCCGTGAATTAAGCCATGGACACACCAGTCCTCCCTGCCTGTCACATCCACACGGCTGCTCTTCCACTGCCTTGTGGAACACAAGTTACACGAGCCCTCATCACCCAGGGCACAGCAGCAGGTCTATGCTGCAAAGCACATTGTGATCTTCCCCCTTGTAAAGGCAGCATCACAGTGAAACAGCATTTGTCTTGCTCCTGCCAGACCTAAAATCAGACCAAACCTGAACAGCCTCAGAGATGCATTCCTATTCAATAACTACATCTTCAAGGAGCGGAATACAGCAAACCCTCTTTGCTTGCACCCAACACTTGAGAGTCAACACAAGCTCCTCAGCAAGGGCTGCCACCCCCTTCTGTTATTTTCCCCTACTTAGTGGAACATTCTCTTTCTGTTGTTGTTTGTAGCAGTGTGTTTATGTATCTGGCTGAGGCTGCTTAAAATAGGACAAGATACCAGGCTGCTGGGGATGGAAAACCGCTCTTGCACATCCACTGTTTGTGTTGTGAGAAGCTTTAAATCCCACCTCTCCGGTGGGATGAAATAGATGCTGCTAAGCCAGTTTCTAAAGTAGCAGGCAGCAAGCTGACACTATTTTAAGAGTGAAAAAGCGGATTTAATCAAACTGCTGCTATTTTCCCTTCTCTCCGTTCCACAATTTGTTTTAGGAAGAACAATGTTTTCAAAACTCTAAAAATAACCTAAAACACTTCAGCCACGTTTTGGGCTCTTACAGCCCCAGCCCCAAAGCACTCATGGAGCTGCAGCAGTTGTGGTGAGCTCCCATCCCAAAGGTATCAACCCCAGGGCAGGTTGCTGCTTCACAGTGCTGCTTCGTGCGTTCCCATCTCCTCTATGGCACTGGAGGGGGCAGAGGAAGAATGGCTTCACCTTGCAGATTTCAATGCCCACAGTCTCCCAGAGGCACAATGTGGAACCAAAACCCAGTCCTGAAACCTCTTCTGGGATGCTGGACGGGGCTTGGAGCAAGCTGCTCCAGTGGAAGGTGTCCCTGCCCATGGCAGGGATTGGAGCTGGAGGAGCTTTAAGGTCCCTTCTAACCTGGCCTTGAACACTGCCAGGGATGGGGCAGCCACAGCTCCTCTGGGCACCCTGTGCCAGCGCCTCAGCACCCTCACAGGGAAGAGCTTCTGCCTAAGAGCTCATCTCAGTCTCCCCCCTGGCAGGTTAAAGCCATTCCCCTTGGCCTGTCCCTACAGGCCCGTGTCCCAAGCCCCTCTCCAGGTTTCCTGCAGCCCCTTCAGGCACTGGAGCTGCTCTAAGCTCTCCCCTTCAGGAGCTTTCTCTTCTCGAGGCTGAGCAGCCACAGCTCTCCTCAGCAGCCACAGTTCTCACTCCCCAGGTCTCACCATCACTGGCTGGCAGCGATGCAGCCGCTGTGATTTACAGTGGTTGGCAGGCACAGTCACTGGGCTCCTCTTTGTCCCCAGCAGCATCCAGCTGTGTGGCACCGTGCAGGGTATCCACACATGGGAGGTTACTTCAAGAGCTCCCACGGGACAGTCACTTATTGCTCTCCTGTGACTAACTGTGACACTTCTGTCTAGCAAAGCAAGCACGAGCCTATTTTAATGGCCCTTGAAATTGGATGTGCGAAATGAAGTACAGTGAATCAGAGGCCAGCTGAATCTGTGATCTGTGAACGAGTCTTCGCTTTTCCTCCCAGGAAGATGAATCGGGATCATTGTTTTGTCAGTGAAACCGCATCAGCTGGGAATCTGGCTTAGAAAATGGGCTCTCTGCTCCTTGCTGAGCCAGAATTCCCACAGATTTGTTGCTGGGGTAGATGAGGACCATGTTTGCCTGAGTGACAGTGAGGTAAAATGACAATCCAGGAATCTATTTTTTTCTACACATAATATCATCCATATGCACGAGTGATTACTCAAAGGAACACATGGATAAGGGAAAGAACCCAAATGCATCGCTACACAAATAAAATCATATTTGTGGAGGGGAGAAAGAAGTCTTGCAGACAGACTGAAAACCTGATTTAGGGAGAGCCTGAGCTGTTTTGTGGTTCTGGGGGTGAAAGATGCTGAGGCTCTTCCATGGATGCAATCAGGATTGCACTTGGATGCTTCTCTGGAAACACCAGGAGCTGTGGGAATGATTTAAACTGCATTGAGAGGGGTTGAGGTCGTGCAAGAGCCTTTCACCAGATGCAAACAGCAGTCTGGAGGGTGGGGAGCGCTGGATGCATCCCCTCCATGCCCATCCTTCACCTGAACACAGAACCACCACAGCCGGGGCTCACCCCCAAAGTCATCACGTACTGCTGTTTATGCATCTCCTCTCATGTTCACTTCTTAGCAGCAGGTACCTGTGGCTTTCCATGATGATCCCATGGGAAGCAGCCATTCGCAGGCTGTGACACACACGGAGCTGATACTCAAGAAAGCCCAAGCCAGGCCTGACTTACCAGAAATGCCTTCTGATGGGGTTTAGCTGCATCCTCAGACTTGGGATCACCAGTGTATTTGCAGGATTGCTCTACACCGTCAGCCCTGGCACTGCGCAAAGGGAGAGGAGGATGGATGCTGCACCGAGCTGCTTCTCAGCTGGGAAAACCTGGGGCAGCACAGCAGACAAAACCAGGGAGAAAATAAGGCACCATAAACCAGCTCGGAGCAGAGATCACCCCCCTCTGCCCCTCTGCTTTCATTAACTTCAGCTATTTAGGGACAAACCTGGGTCTAATGCTACCATGTCTCCTTTCAGTTCGTGATGCTGCTTGGCACCCTCCAGCTGATCTCACTGCTGTCCATATGGAACAGAGAGGAAAATCACCACTAGATCCTATGAGAGACCACCCCTGTCACTAGAGTCCGGTACAAGCACAACTCTTGATCCTCCTAATTAAAGGTGTGAAGTTAATTGGCATAAATTTGCTCCTTGGACTTTATAGGGCGGCAAATGTCAGTGCTGCTTACCCCTGTTCTGGAGCCCCTTGCTCAGGCACCAAACCAACCCCAGCACGTCTTTAATTAGCACCTACCTGCAGACAACCTCGAGGGGAGAACGTTCCACCTGCAACAACAACAGAGGGCCTTTGCATTCACAGGCTGGGCTGTAGCTGAAACCGAGGAGAGAGCATTTTAACATCAAGGATGGAGGGGTTTAAACACTGAATTAATTCTCCAAGGGAACAATAAACTTAATGAAAGCTTCAGGTCTCCCCATCTGCCACGAATGTGCATTGCAAAGGTTTCCTCCTGGGTCACGTCTGGCTTTTAGCAGTAGGTTCAGGAAGCATAGAACCACGGAATAGCAGCTTGGAAGGGACCTCAAGGAACATCTGGTCCAACCTTTCTTGGCAATGCATGACCTGAGCTAAATGCCCTAGCACCCTGCCCAGCCAAATCTGAATTGTCCAATGTTGAGGAATCCAGCACTGGATATTACTCCAGTGGCTGAGTGTTCTCATGGGGAAAAATTCTCCTCTTGTGTCCAGCCGGAATTTCCCTGGGAATAACTTGTGCCCATCACCCCTCATCTTTTCGATGGGACTCCTTGTACAAAGGACTCTAATATTGTTCCTGGTTAGGATGCAGATATAGTATTTCAGAGCAGGATGAGCCCAGCACGGTTTCTGCAACACACAGTGTGGATTTGCAGACCCATTTAGGCCACACAAAGCTTTTACCCCTACATAAGGACAGTTATTAGGCCATCAGCAGCGTGCCATTCCAGGCCCTCCCAAGTCCTTTCGCAGATCACGCTCCCAAGCCATTCCTGACAGCACCCAAGAACATGTGGGATTTCATCCTGACTTTTGCCTTGCCTTCTGCTGCCGAGCTGTCTCCAGACATGGTGTGTGGGCACTGCCTGACAGGCTGACAGCAGCAGCATTAAAGCGTTGCCTTGTTGACACCGAGGTGCATGTCACAACTCCTCCTTGGGAGCGGTGAACAACCACATCATGGCAGGTCCCACACAGCCCCACGGGGACCTCACATGGCTGCAGCTCCAGCATGAGCCCTGGTATGCAGGTTAAACCCATCCATGCGATGCTGCTGGGATGAAGCTTCCATAGGCCATCCTGCAGCGTGGACCAGGAGATGCTGGGGTTCTCCTGTGGGAGCCAGCAGCAACACTAAGCTCTGCTTGAGTTTGGCTGGGTCTGCACCTTACATGATTTCACCTATGATCCTTGAGGTCCCTTCCAACCTGGCATTCCATGGTTCAAGTACAATTCCAAGTCCTTAATCTCACAGAGGCAGATTTGGCACTGAGCTAGAATTAACAGCAGTGCTGGACTGCAGCCTCACACTGAATTACACCCCAAGAGTGCTTCTACCAAACAGCTTCACCATGGCACAGTGATGCTCCTCCAAGAACTGAGCTCTGATGTGGGCTTCCCTTGTCATGGAACACTAGGAGATGTTCCTGGGCTGCTCCAGGGACAATATATCTTTCTCCCAGGAGATACGGACTAATGGAAACTGGATGGCATGTGAGCAATCTGTGACCATACAGAAAAAGACCAACTCCACAACAGTTTTTCCATCATTAATTATTCACCCAAGCAGAGGTGCAGCTCCTTAACAAGGCCCCTGCAGCATCGCATCTCCGAGCCTGGGACACAAGCCAGACCCCAAGGCAGCGCATCCATGGGATGCTGTGCCTAAACTCAGATCCATGGCAAGGAGATGTGTTCAATTACAGCACTCTTCAGAGCTGAGCTAACATCTGAGCAGAGCTTCTCTGCATGACATGCATTAGCTCAAGCTGAGCTGGCTCAGAGCTCCCTGCCACAGCAATTTAAACCCATCCCAGCTCCTGAGGACTCTGAAATAAGTAGAAGTCCTTTAACCAACCCCTTACAACCTGCCCAGGGCAGGTCCTCAGGGTGAAGAGCACTGCATGAATCACCCCAATTTCTGGTCCCCAGCCCTTCTGATACAGGAGATGGGGTCTCATTGCCCAGCACAGCCATGGATGGCTCTTAAACATCAGTGAGTGACTGGGTTGAAATGACAGATAATAAACAGGAGCCTGAAATGCCCCAGCGAGCTCCAATCACTCTCCAAAATAGCCCATCTCGAGGAGTTTGCTATTAGATACCAGCAGGACAACTACCTGATTGCAAAACGTGGGATTTAATTATAATATAAATATATATGTAATCATTAACATATAGTATTTAAAGCACACAAGACAAAATACAGCTGGAAATGGCCCTGTTCTCCATGCGGAGACTGGAGCTGTTCAGCAGCACAAACACCGCTGCCCGCAGGGCACTATAGCTTGCAGCAGCAAGGGGCAATAGCAGTATCAAGACCCTGCTGTATGGTCCCAGCATCTTGCCTGCTTCCAGAAAAGGGATGGCAGGAGGCCAAGACAGGCAATATTCCCAGTAAGAATAAAAAAGTTACACTAAAAGCATTCATCTTCCTCTGCAGAAAAAGAGCCAAATTCCCTGTGGAATCATTCACAGGAAGAGCTGAAACCAGCCCTGGTATTTTTGCCCATTTAATGTGTAGACATTTCAGCTACCTTCTGAAAGGCATTAAAGGCACATGGGCAAGGCAAGAAGGTGATAAGTGTTTAAACACACCCTGCTCAGCAGGATTTCATCCCCATGCCAGGCTGGAAACATCTGCTCCCAGTCACCTTCAGACACAAGGAAGGGACAGGCTGTGCTGTTCGTCAGGATCAAGTCACCACTTGCAATAGTACATTCACATCCCATTGCCATTTACGTAGGGGTTTCAGGAGGGGACACGCAGGATGACACAGGAGGAGTCATCAATTCAAAGAGGCAGGCATTAATCCACTCAGTCCAAATCCCCACCGCGAGGCAGGCTGCAGTAACCAAGGCGCTGCATTTGCACTTTCATCTTGGTGCCCCATTTTCCTCTCCCTGCACTCACCACCAGCTCTCCCCATGCTCAGATTCCCCAGATCATTAAAAGCAGCGTTAGGAACGGGGATGAGCAGCGGGTGCGAGTCCAAAAAGCTCATCAACATTTCTCCGCACTGACATTTCCAGCCACAGAAGGAGGAAAACCTGCACGTAAGAGGTGTGAAGTCAAAGCCATAATCAAATTTAGCTATAATGAGAGAAACTGAAGAGGTTTTTGACATTCAGAACAAGATTAGCAGCTCCGGGCACAGAAGAAAGGCAGCATTTCCCCTGCTTTAATGAGTGCATCGTGCAAATCACATCTCAAACCCTTCTCCCCAGTCCTGGGCCCCATTCAGTCGATGTGGTGCTGAATTCTTACAGCAACGTGCAGGTTGGCTTGCAAATAAAATCACAGAGAGCAGCTTGGAAGCATCAGTGCAAAGAGCGGCTGAGCACGGGTCCAGGGTGCAGCGCAGGCACACAGCACACCCCTGAAGCTCTAAGATATTTAGGGGTTTGCCATTTGGTTCCCCGCCTCACAGGAGATACAGAAGATGCTTTACAGAACCTCTGCCTCCTTCAGGCTGCATCAGTGTGCAGGAGAGGACAGGGATGAAGGGTTACACCATCTGCTGCCGCTGTGTGCTGCCTCGGATGCCTCCAAAATCTCATGCTCCTGAATCATCCCAGAGGCTGAGGCAACTTTACTGAGTCCACAATGAAAGAGACTTCAGCTGAATCAGATGCCAGGCAGTAACTGCTGCCAGACCCAAGTGATGGGCTCTCAGGGGAGAAGGCAACAAGCAGCAAGGAGGGACCACAGCAGGAACAGCCCCAGCCCTGTCAGCATCCCTCCCCTCCTGCAAACAGGAGCTCAGCAAGTTGGAAATCCTTCCTTTTCTCCCCATGAAAGAGCAATTCGATCCTCCAGTTTAGCTCAGATTCAGCCCTACCTCCAAGGATGATGGGGACACAGCAGGAAGAGGAGTGATTGATGAACTCAAAATGAAGTATTCATTTAAGATGAATCATTAGCTTAAATTCCATCCACTCCAACAGCTCCCACAGTGGCAGAGCCAACGTACAGGCAGTCTCCCCATAAATATTATTCCCACCTGGATCCCCTTTAACATGCCTGCTCTTCCACATCTTTTGGGCTAGAATGTATACTTGGAGAATGGAAAAACCCAGATGAACACAGCTCAGCTGCTGGGCCTGTGGTATGAGGAACACTTAAATGAGTTACTTTACATCATTTACTCTTCCCCATCATTGCTGCAGGGTGACCCCTGAGTGACAAATGCCCACTTGGAAGAGAAAAGCATCCGTTCATTGCAGAGAACAAATTAGAGGGCAAAGGTTTATAGCCCCAGAAGGATGATGGGCAATGCCTCATCCTCCAGCATTTTGTGCCCGGGGAGGATCTGCTGGACACGGGACCGGTTTAAGTTAAGGCCACAGAGCAGGAATGAAACCTTGCTCTGTTAAAACTGGGCGACCCCAAGCATTAAGTTTTAAAAGGGACTTAAAAATATAGGAAGGTTAAATTTGATTTATTTTATGTACATGATCCTCCTGTGTGGAAACAACTGGGAGCCGTGTAACTGCATTTCCAAGCACTAAATTCAGAGCAGCCACAAGGAGCACAGATGCACAGCGAGCAGGCAGGAGGGAAAGCAAAGTCGTTTTTAAGGAGATGGGAATTACAGGCTGGGATTTA